CTTCCCCAAATCCTTTGAGTCAGCTGTCATCCATGTAATTCCATAAATGTAAGTTTTGTCCGTGAGGATTAGGTTTAGGTAATTATTGTCTTGTGAAGGAGATAGCCCAGCAGCTCACAACCTCGGGGTGGAGGTGGAGGAAGATGTGTGGTGAGCAGGGAGTTGCTTAGAGGGGAGCTGCTGGAAGGACCTGAATGGAGGACATGCTTGTGGCCAGGTGACCATCCAGTGTTCACATGGAAGGTGTGAATGCAAGGATGGTGGAGACCGGACTGGTGAGTTATGGGATAGGATGGGGAAGGGCTGAAGCAAGCCGAGTTTCAGTTTGGGCTCTGTTACTACAGTCACTGTACTAAAATACTTTCCTGGACAGAGCCAGGAATTCAGACAGAAAAGACTGAATTTTAGGATAGCCTAATGACTGTCCAGTGTCCCTCACTATCATGCTGCTAAGCAGATGGGTTGCACTGGAGAGGGGGCATTTGATCACTTTGCCATTTTTAATAGCTTTTAATTTTGCCACAGTGGGAAGGGAGGAAATTGCTTTGTGGGGAAATACTGGAGAATTGTCCTCTTTCAGGAGGGCTCTTAGCTGTGATATAACAAGACCAAAAGCAAAATTGTTCTTGGGGGAAGAAGAGTGAGGGCTCTGTGATTGCCTACGCTTCATTAGTTTTGAAAATCTTGTCTTAGCCCTTTAGCCCTTTGAATGGCTCTATTATAGTTGTAGGTCCAGTTTATTTTGATACTTGGTTGTCATGGCTATCACTGCTGAAAAAGATTCCTCACGTGGAAGTGTAGAAGGAAATGGAAGAAGTGCATCGTCAGCCGTCCTGACTAAACAGGGATACTAATTTTTCAACCCGTCCATTGCTTAGGCAAAGGTTTTTCTTGATACTGAGCTGGTAATGTCTGTCTTCCCCGGTGTCAGCCAGTTATGCGTGCAAGCTAACTGAAAGGTGTTGCATTTTTAGATTTTTAGCAAATGGGTTCAAACCCCATGGAAATTCTTCGCTTGGAAGATTTTCAGACAGGTTAGAAAAATCTGTTTCCAAGTTTTTCAACTGTGCAGCTAGGAGGGGTTTTCTTGGTGACACACTTGTATCAATTTTGGCAACAAGTCACATACTGATGGATCTGTTTTCATGATGCTCTCTCCACAGCATGAGTTTCATTTGAAAAGCAGTTACTTTATCACCCATTGTTCAAATGGCACCTTCACTTTGAAGGGGCACCTTAAGTATTTATTTTTTTGGATAATATCTGCTGGGTAGCATACTACTGACAGCAACTGGTCATCAGCAAGTTTGTAACGCTTGTCTTTTTGTAAAAGAAAACTCCTCTTTAAGTTCCACAGCTCTTTTAAACCCTTTGCGGTCAGATAAGCGGTGAACCCCTATGTGGTACAAGAGATTTTCGTGGTTGCTTCCTGTCTCATTACAACTTGTTGTAAAGACTCTACTGGGTCAAAGGTCTTGTTTTTACAAACAAAGGTGACAAAGTGCCCCTTCCAAAACCCAGCCCTGCAGCAGTGCCACCATGTTACTGTCCCTCCACTGTGACCATCCAGTAGCTCCTGTCTGCAGCAAAAACATCAGCAGAACCCAACTGCAGGGGACTGTAGCAGACCTCCAAGAGCCTCTCCCCTGCTGAGGATTGTGACAGCCATTTTGGTAGGGGGTATTTCTTCACAGAAGAATTTTGAAGGAAAAAACCCAGCCTGTTTGTACTGAAGTTTCTCCTTTGAGAATGAAAAACAAATGAAAAATAGCCATTATTCCATTAGAAATTAAACAAAAAACTTCCAAGGTAACAAGAATTTGGGATTTTCCAATGGTTTTTTTACCTGTATGGGGGATTTTTAAAGCACCTGATGAAAGCCTGACACCTGTTGCTAAAATTGAAAATGAATCCTTTAGAAAAGTTTATCTTAATTTACATGCAATTCTATTAATCTAATAGACTTGCATGTAAATCTTCAGAAAATCCATTCTGTATTTCAGAAAAGCTGCTGTGTTATTGCAAAAGATGTGCTGTATCTTTGATAATTCTCAAAGAGGTTGAACAGTGCTTTAGCAGAAATCCAAGCCATTGTTGTTGGTGAAACTTGGGTTTGTACCTCTATGGCATTTTATACAGAGTGTGTGAAGAGTCCCCTAATTGCATTCTGAGAAGTACAGTATTACATTGGACATTGCACGCAGTTAAGAGCATTGTCTGGTGGTGTTTGAAGCAGATCAATTTTATGTCTGTCTGTAATAGTTAGACAATTTCATTTCCTGCCCTGTACTTAAAAAAGGCTTTTAAAATAAAACCTGCATCAAGAAGGCAGAACTCCTCAAATGCAGGAGAATAAATGTTTCCTGTATCCAGACTTTGAAGGATCTAAACTGCCAAGATAAGTCTCAGAAATACCTAAAATAGATAAATTTGATTTCATATGGCAGAAGTGTGTGGAGTGGTATGTAGAACTTCTTAATTTTGCTTCTTGCTTTCTTCCTCTCCCACTCACAAGATGACACTTCTGTATCTTAACCACTCATTTACAGCTGTAGTAAACTGGGAGAGAACA